GCTGATGCTGGCCAGGGCCTGCCGCGCCTTCTCCCACTCGGGGTTCTCGGCGGGCGGCGCCGGCGCCTCCTCCCGAGCGGCCGCGGCGGCGCCGCCGAACGGGGCGGCCCTGAGGGAGCGAGAGACCGAGGGCGCCGCTCAGCCCGGGCCCGGCCCGGCCCCGCCGCCCTCCCCGCCGCCCCCCGCGCTCACCAGTCCCGCTGCTCGCCCAGGTTGGCGGCCATGGCGGCGCCGGCCCCGCCGCCCGCTCCGCTGGCGACGGCCGCGCCAAGATGGCGGCGCCGCCGCCCTCACGGAGCCGCTTCCGGTCGGCGCCGCGCGCGCGGCCAATGGGAACGCGAGGAGATGGTAGAGGGGCGGGGCTTCCGTAACGGCGCCGCGCGCGCGGCCAATGGGAGCGCGAGGAGAGGGTAGAGGGGCGGGGCTTCCGTAACGGCGAGAGGGAGGGGCGGGGTTTGCGTAACGGCGCCGCGCGCGCGGCCAATAGGAGAGCGAGGAGAGGGTGAGGGGCGGGGCGTAGCAAACGGCGGAGTGGCGCGGCCAATGGGAACGCGAGGAGAGGGTAAGGGGCGGGGCGTCGCTAACGGCGCATGCGCGGAGACGCGACGGCGGCCGCCAGGGGACAAACGGAGCGAGGGGCGCGACCGGGAGCCCAAAACCGGGGGGGGGGATCCCGAAATTGGGACTTTTTATACCCAAAATTGGGACTTTTTATACCCAAAATCGGGGGTCTGGGTCCCCAAAATCAGGGGTCTGCGTCGCCAAAATTAGAACTTTTAATTCCCAAAACTGGGGGTCTGGGACCCCCAAAATGGGAATTTTTATACCCAAAATTGGGGGTCTGGGACCCCAATATTTGGTGATTTTAACCCCAAATTTGGGGTCTGGGTCCCCAAAATTGGGGGTCTGTGTACCCAAAATTGGAACTTTTTATACCCAAAAATGGGGCTCTGGGACCCCAAAATTTGGGGATTTTAACCCCAAAATTGGGGGTCTGGGTGCCCAGAATTTGGGGATTTTAACCCCAAAATTTGGGGTCTGGGTCCCCAAAATTGGGGGTCTGTGTACCCAAAATTGGAACTTTTTATACCCAAAATTGGGGGTCTGGGACCCCAAAATTTGGGGATTTTAATCCCAAAATTTGGGGTCTGGGTCCCCAAAATTGAAACATTTAATCCCCAAATTTGGGGGCCTTTAATTCCCGAAATTGGAACTTTTTCTACCCAAAATTGGGGGTTTTTAATTCCCAAACCTGGGGGATTTTAACCCCAAAATCTGGGATTTCTTCACGTCCCAAACTGGAGGATTTGAACCCCAAAAAAACGGGGATTTCACCCAAAAAAACGGGGATTTCACCCCAAAATTGGGAGTTTTTAACTCCCAAACCCAGAGATTTCACCCCAAATTTGACTTTTTAACCCCAAAATTGCCAAATTTGGGAATTTTGAACCCCAAACCCAGGGGATTTTACCCCAAAATTGGCATTTTTTAACCCCAAAACCCGGGGATTTCACCCCAAATTTGACTTTTTAACCCAAAACTCAGATTTCACCCCAAATTTGAGTTTTTAACCCAAAACCCCAGGGGATTTCACACCAAAATTTGGAGTTTTTAACCCCAAAACCCGGGGATTTCACCCACAAAACCACCAATTTCCAACCCCAAAACCCAGGGATTTCACCCCAAATTTCAGTTTTGAACCCCAAAACCCGGGGATTTCACCCCAAATTTCAGTTTTGAACCCCAAAACCAGGGGATTTCACCCCAAATTTGACTTTTTAACCCAAAACTCAGATTTCATCCCAAATTTGAGTTTTTAACCCAAAACCCGGGGATTTCACCCCAAAATTTGGAGTTTTTAACCCCAAAACCCGGGGATTTCACCCCAAAACCACCAATTTCCAACCCCAAAACCCGGGGATTTCACCCCAAATTTCAGTTTTGAACCCCAAACCCGGGGATTTCACCCCAAAATTGGAGTTTTTACCCCAAACCCCCCTGACCCCACCCCAAATTGGGAGTTTTTTACCAAAACTCCACCGATTTCACCCCAAAATTCAGAGTTTTTCACCCCAAAACCCGTGGATATCACCCCAAATCCAGGGATTTCACCCCAAAATTGGGATTTTTAACCCCAAAATTGGGATTTTTAACCCCAAAACCCCGGGGATTTCACCCCAAAATTCGGAGTTTTTCACCAAAACCCGCAGATTTCACCCCAAATCCAGGGATTTCACCCCAAAATTGGGATTTTTAACCCCAAAATTGGGATTTTTAACCCCAAAACCCCACAGATTTCACCCCAAAATTCAGAGTTTTTCACCCCAAAACCCGCGGATTTCACCCCAAATCCAGGGATTTCACCCCAAAATTGGAATTTTTAACCCCAAAATTGGGATTTTTAACCCCAAAACCCCAGATTTCACCCCAAAATTCAGAGTTTTTCACCCCAAAACCCGTGGATATCACCCCAAAATTGGGATTTTTCACCCCAAAATTGGGATTTTTCACCCCAAAATTGGGATTTTTAACCCCAAAACCCCAAAACTCCAAGTTTTTCACCAAACCCCACCGATTTCACCCAAATTTAACTTTTTCACCCCAAAAACCACCAAACCCCCAACCGCCGAAAAAAACCAAAAACCAAACTCCACAAAACCCCAAAAAAACTGGAAAAAAATCCTTTAATCCTGGGGTGGGGGGATGGGGCGGGGGAGGGGCTGGGAGGGGGGGTGGGGAGGGTCCGACGGGGGCGAAATGTGGGAATTTTTTGGGGCGAAATTCGGGGATTTTGGGACAAAAACGGGGCGGGGCTACCAGAAGTCGCGGCGGTGGTAGGAGTCGGGGTCGCAGAATTTGGTGACCACCACGCGGTTGGCGAACTTGCGGCCGGTCAG